GAGACTCTGAGACTTGCTGGTGTCGCTGCGCCATGCGAAACGTATGGCCGCAGAACTTCGAGGCAAAAAGCTGGATGTGTCTTGCGGCGTCTCCCGTTGTACGAAGTTCTTCCTGTTCTTTTGACTTTTGCTTTCATGGTGATGGGGCACTGGAGTCGTGCATCCAAAGTTTTAGCTGTTTCTTATATGCTTCCTTGAGAGAGGTCACACGCACATTATATACTGTGGTATATCGTGGTATAATTTTATATGATTTTACTAGTTACTAGTAGATGGAGGTCTGGGGGAAGAGGCTGGAAGAGGCTGGGACTCCATTCGCCAACTGCTTGCCAAGTGCATCATCTTTGCCATGCCCTGTGTCAAGCGGTCCGGTCTACCTCGCCAGGAAGTGAAAGCGATACTGACTTCAGCACCAAAAAGGCTCGGCACTCTTAGTCTCACACATCAGTTGCACTCCAGGATCGTGTGAAAGAATCCCTGCACCTTGTTGGGGAAGGGCAGTCTGGAAACACTTGGGCCCAGTGAAGGTGAAGAGTGAATGGTACACATACATTGGAGGAGAAGATCCAGGATGTAGCTGATCGTTGCAGCGATCCTAGATCCTAGCAGGTGGCAAGAGAAAAGAGATCGCTGCAGGCGGTCAACATGTCCGGCCACTTTGCACAACCCAGGAAGCTTCATTTCAGGTGGCATACTGAAATCAAAGTGATGAAGTTTTCGATGCTGCTGCAGCTATGCTGTATTGAATGCAGAAGGCAATTGGCAAAGGCATGTGAGCTTCCATTGGCAGAAACGGTGCCATCTTGTATGGTAACCCTCCTTGATACAGGCCTCCCTCTAGAGCCAGTGTTGGTTGCCTCCGGATGATGGTACAAGCATGAGCAAGCTAAACATCGATATGAACAGAAGCCGTTAGAGCCAGTCTGCTAGCTTGATGCCATGACCGCTGGTGAGATGAGGCAGGATCTTGCCTGCTAGTAGCCTGGCACAAGAGATGTGTGGAGCAGGGCACAAAACACTGAAAGCCTCAGTTCCAAGGACGCGCAGATGGACGCTGAAACAGGCCAAGCTGAAAGTCTCCGACAAACTAGAGCTGATCGCCTGAAGACTGTCCTATCAAGGGCGTGTCTTGGCTCAAACGCCATGTATATAGTTCTCAGTGCTAGGTGCTTGTTTGTTTGCGAGTGGCCAGTGGCCGTGGGGTTTTGTAATGGATTGACCTGAACTCTGAGGGCTCCAGAGGTTGCAGTGGAGGAAAGCTCCAAGAGGCGCTACACTTCGAGACTGTGCCAGTACCTGTCCGACTTCGGAAGATGGTTGGCACAACCCTACAACGCTCCTGGGATGCATGAGCAATCGTGTGCAGTCGCTCCTGGGAAAAATGGAGTTTTGCATCATGTTCTCCAGGTTGACATCGAGCCTCCAGACAGTGATGATGAGAGGAACGACGGCAAGCAGGAGGAGGAGCATGGTTAGAACACGGGTATGTGATTGCTACTTGCCACCCCCACGCCAGGTTGCTGAGGCCACACGTCAATAAGCACAGTCTCAGCCACAAGCCAATCTCACAGAAACATACAGAAACCAGGAACTCACAGCACCAGGGCGCACTGTGTATAAAGAGCATGGAATATGATGGAATAGAGCTTGCAGGATCCGTTTTCAATATTGATGCTTGGGGGGATTCATGGTTGGACTATGGACAAGCACCCTCACTAGAGCCAAACATGCCCTGTAGTGTAGGATCGCACCACCCTTTCTGCCTGTTTAAAGGACCTTCGGCACAAGTGCCACAAAGTTAACACGCATTGCTGATTGATCTCCATGCTGTCCATGGATCGCCTCCTCCCTTCTTTTTTTGTGCTTTTCCTTTCACCGGCATCGATCCTGTCTACCTTGTCCCTTCTTTTCTTCTTCCCTCCAATGATTGTGGTTTTGGTATGCTTTTAACATTCATCATTAGCAACTATTATTGCATACCTTTTGCACCGCCACCATACTCACACGATCAAGCTGTCTCATCCAAGGTTGCTTGCACTAAAGTCGAGAAAAGGTATTGGCCAGATATAACGGCAAATGGCAATCAATGCTCGGCCAACTCGCATGGCTATCGCAAACCTTGTTTACCTCAGCGCCACCACAACTTGGGCAGCTCAATCTGGGCGGTCACTCAGCCATCACAATACTTGGCCAACCCACCACAAAGCAGCAGCGGTACGCTACAGCTCACTTAGCTGTGCTGCAGATCGGCACTGCACCTATTGCAAAGCTAGCTCAACATCAGCTTGTTTGGGAGATTGCTCTGAACTCTGACGAGCTCTGCCAGAGATTGGCAATTCTGCCGTCCAATTCCATGCGTCAGGGTGATCGGCATTTGCCCCGTCAACTGCATAGATACACGTGGCCTCTCGCCTCTCCCATTTTGAGTGAAGACCTCTTGCCTCTCCGAGAGTCCGTAGGAGGTGGTTCAAAAGACATGGCGAGAGAAGTGGCTTGTCTTGTGCCTTTCGGTGTTGGGTTTGGATGGGTGGAAAATGCTGAGCGGGTGAACCGTTCGACCCTTTGAACGAGGAAAAAACAAAGACGGTTCAAGGGGATAGTGTTGAGGTTGCAGACTGTGGTGGTGAGCAATGGATTTGAGAAGCTTGGCTGAAAGGCCTTCATTTGCGCATATGGAGAGGTGTATGGTGCCTTTTGAGAATGGCCAAGCTGTGGGAGGGATTGTTTGCATGAAAAGTGATCGGTCCAGCTAAGGGCAACAAGCTGCCTTTTTGTCACAGTGAACCTTGCCTTTTTGGGCGTTCAAGCCAATTGTCAGGGCCTTAAACTTGAACGTCAACGGAACCACTCCTCCGGCCAATTGTGCACCCACGTGTGAGCGTGGCGTCCGGAAAGGCAATGATGCATGTGGGACCTATACCACTGCTCTCTTGATTGCATTTGATGTGGCTCGGTGACAGGCCGAAGCACCGCATTGGCGCTTTCGCCTTTGTTTTTGTCCTACCCAGTGACCTGGCCGTGCCGCTTGTAAGTTGGCCAAGCCCAAATGTATTGGTGGGGAGAATTTCCTGAAATGCGGCCGATATGGACCGTGTGCGAGCACAGAATACGGTTTTCTTGCAAAGCAGCATCTCTAGAGCTGGGTCGGGTGACAGGGACCGGCAGTTTGCCTTCCTGTTTGGGGTCGCCCACCGTGTGGTTCCGGCGAGATGCCGTCCCGCCACACCCTGAACTCGAACTATCTAAGGATGCGTTTACCACCATTTTTCTGATAGACGCTCGGTTGCATCAGAGTTGAACAAGGCAGTTGGTTCTATGATTGGCCGTGAAATGGCGCTGCTGGGTGAGAAAGAAACTTAGGAATGGCTCCTTTGTGTTGCAGCACACGGTCGGTCCTACTTTTACTCCATCTCCAACTTGCTGGACACTGTGATTGTTTGGCTCTTTGGCGTTTTTTTGCTCTGGATCGCTCCATTGATCTTCGGTGCAGAAGGCCTAGCAGCGTTGCAAGCGATCCGCGCCATCAGGGCCATGCGCTCCCTCAGATCCTTCAAGGTGTTGAGGCACTTCCAAAGTTTCCGCATGCTCCTGACGGGTGTGCTTGGGACGATTCCCACCTTGAGTGTGCCTGGGCTGAAAGCGATGTTCATCAACGTGCCGCAACGAGCAGTTGGAGGTAGATGACCGCCAAACAGATGCAGATGTGTTTCTTACATTTCAGTGTGCCTTTGATTATGATTTTGGACCCCAACGTGGTCACAAGATGGTATGTATATATATATAGTATATTGAGCTTTGGAAACTTGAAGCTGGAGCTGAAACCAGCCGAGGCCTGCATCTTGATGATTTTTTTGACAGATCTGACCTTTGGCATCATTTCTGTGGATATTATAGGACTGCTGGGCTCTGCTGGACGTGGAAGACTGACCCAACGCCCATCGGAGATCAAGCGGAACGAACGAACATGACACGAGCACAGTGAGTTTTGCACGCGATACATTTGCAACAACTTGCGATGAAGCAACTTGCCAGGTCCAGCTCAAAGCTGAATGCAAACCAACAGGAAAGCATAGAGTGAAGTAGCGGAGAGACCTTCCGTTCAGTCGAACAGACATCCACACTTACTTCACTTGCGAACAAGTTGTGACGGAAAGCTGCGCGCATGGAACAATCGGACTCTTTTTTTGTGTGTGGAGGGCTCCAGTAAAGCTGAAAGGCTGAAAGAACAGCAGAATATATATATATAGATAGATATAGATATAGATATGACATGCATATTATGAGAGTTTGCGTTTGAGTATCTGAAAGGCGGTGGGACATACTTTTTGAACATTTGGCGGCTGCTGTTGAACATCCTGCCAGGACGAGACCCAGGTTGGGGCTTGGCCGCCTCTGGAACTGCCGCGTGGTATTTCCAAAATGGCGTGCTGCAGGCACGCAGCGGAGTGTTTGTGCACATGAACTCCCACGCGGAGGATAGGCCCCTTTTTTTGGGGATTGGAGGGAACATACTTTCCTGCCCATCACAAAAAATACATTTCTTCAAGGTTTGGTGCTTGAAAAGATGAAGGATTGATGGAACAGGGGTGTGAAGAGATGAGGTTCATGTGCGTAATGGCCCGCGAAAGTAAGCAACCAAACGAAAATCTTGAGAAAGCTTCACAAAAGTGACATTTGGATCTGTTGTTGCGACAGTAGTTGTGAGAACCTTTGTGGCGTAGGCATGCATGTTTTTTCCATTAATCACATGCAGCATCCATGTTGAAGAATGGAGGTTCCGCTGCAAAAGTGGCGTGAAAGTACACATGTTGAAATGAAACCTGCAGAACCAAGAGCAGAGGTCGCGAAAGTGGCGGGAAAGCACTAGCGAAACACCCATTAGAACCGTCCTGCAGCCAGGTTTTCGACACAACTCATTTGGTTTTCTTTGTTTGCGACGCTATACATAACAAGAATGGGCTGACGCCCTGGCGCTGAGTTGAATGGCATTTGCACCCGTTTTGAAAAGAAGAGACCCGCTACAAATGGGGCTTCCGCAAAGATTTCACGATTCCCTATGGCATCGTCCATCTCAAAGGGAAGAAACAATGGCGCGCAAAGGCCGAACTATCATCTCCAACTACCACTCCCCGGCTGGCAACCTCTTGCGCGTTACGGGCCGAGGCTTAGATATCATACTCCAGCACCTCTACCCACAACACCCAGGACAACTTTCCATCCCACAACTTTGGCACCACTTCCGCGCCTACCTCAACAACACACCCCCAGATATCACACTTTATGCCACCAATGACGACCTCGTCGGGTTCTTCAATTCCGTGCCGCAACACAGACTCATTGACGCGGTCCTCAGCCTTACCCAACAGTGGCAACAGCAACAGACCACCCATACTATCACCATCGGCATCCACGCCACTGACAATCCCTACCATCACGCCCATGTTGGCCGACATCATCACCGTCCCACTCAGCGCACACTCCACGCAGCCGACATCCCTACCATTGTGGCCTTCGCCCTGGATACCTGCATTTTCCGAGCATGCAACCATACATACAATACAAACAGACTCGCGGCGCTGGGATAGGCTGTCAATTGTCGCCCGCCCTTTGCAACGTGACCGGCGCCCTCATTGAACACGCATGGCAACAGTTGCACAACAACCTACTTCACCACACTGACATTCATTTCAACTACTACCGCTACGTTGACAACCGCTTCATCATCCATAATGAGCACTTCCTCACTCACCCAGCAATACTAACACTGATCCGCCATGACTTCTTTGGCGACCCCATCGAGCTTGAAGCCGTCGAGGACAACCATCTCCTGGGCTTCAACATTGAACTCACAAACCGCACCATCACCTATATGCAACCCACACAATCCTGGAAAATCCGGGATCCCACATCAGCAGGCAGCAAAAGACTGACCCTTTCAGGATTGGCATCCCGCCTCCACACCATGTACAAATACACCTTTCCACCAACCGCTGCAGACGCTGCGGCCGACGACTACCTTGTCAAACTCTACATCCACAAAGGACATGCAGCAATCGACTGCAAACGGTTTTTGAAGAGCAGAAAAAGCACGCTTTGCGCTGTCCGCAGCCGACCTTCCACTGGACTGACTGCGCCGTTTCGGCCGCTCGTGTGTGTCAGACCCCGTCCCAAGTGGTTTAATCCTTCCTTTGAGATCCGGCATTGTTCCACGCAGGGGCGTGTGACACTCTTATCCTATGGCCAGTTTCCTGTACCTGCGATTTCAACTGTTGACCCCCTCCGCTGTTCTTTGCTTCTCATGGTGGTTTTGCACGCTACTCCAAAACAGGTTTCCTCCAGCAGCTTTCAGCAGCCGTCGTTCAGCCGCGTTCTGCAGACAAGTGAACAGATTGTTTAACACTTCAGTTGAGCTGACCGCTTCACCTTTCGTTTCCCTCATCCTTTTCCTCGTGGAACAGAGTTAACTGAAAACCCAATGACTAAATGTGAAATCCTTGAGATCACAGGGAACCGTACGGGTTTATTAGCAGGGGGCAGGGCACTGATTTCCTACTATCTGTGCCAACGGGGCGCCAACTCTTGTACCTGCGCTTTAACCTGGTTGTGATGTTGAGTGACCACCGTCTCCTCTAGCCAACAAGGCTGTTTAGGTCGCTCTCAGGTCGGCAGATTTGAGCGTTCGTTGTCATCCTCTCGCCTCGCGATCATCGACCCTTTAGTCTGGACCACCAGGATGCTCGGACCCCCTTACATGATTCCCTCCTGAATATGGTTACCTATGTCGCTGTGGAGCGGGTGGCTTTCTGTTCCGTACGAATTGTCCCGAGTGTGTCCGGTGCGGGCCTGGAGTGATGAGCCCGAAGAGTGCCCTCCGTGGCCTCGTCGAGCGGGGGTTCGGAGGCTTACGCCAAACGTTGATTGAGCTGACGATTTTGATGGAGCACTTTGGCGTGCCAATAGTAGTCCACAGCGGACCAGAGCAGGCTGAATGAATGCCCAGAGTAGGCCGCAGCGGCCGTAGTTCACTCAAGACCCGGGTCTGGCCCTTCATGTGGTTCCCGCTTTCACCTTTTTCCCCTTGCGCACCTTCTTTTTTCCTCTTTATTCTCATGTCTTTCCTGCCTTTGTGTCTCGTCCTCTCATCCTTTTTCCCCACATATTAGTGTGGGGTTCTTCTTTTCTATGTCTCATCCGCCTCCCGGTGCGTCCCGCCGCCTCCCGCCCCCTCCCTCCACACCGAGACAACACATACAGAGACAACACGCACAGAGATCACACACACAGAGATCACACACACCGAGACAACACACACACAGAGACAACACACACAGATCACACACACAGAGATCACACACACAGAGATCACACACACCGAGACAACACACATCACACACACAGAGATCATGCACACCGAGACAACACACACACAGAGATCATCCTCCCTCCACACCGAGACAACACGTACAGAGACCACACATCACGCAGTAAGAGTCTCAATAGCAGCACTTTGTGAACCTCCATGTGCAGAACTCGTGGCAGGCGCAGCGCTTTGTGAACCTCCATGCTCCGTTAGAGGCTCTGGCTGTTGCGTTGTCGTCCCTCCATTGTGATTAGAGTATGCATGAGTATGCACTTGTTTCTGGACGTGCAGAATTCGTGGCAGGTGCAGCACTTTGTGAACCTCCATGCTCCGTTAGAGGCTCTGGCTGTTGCGTTGTCGG